AAACTTGTAACATTACTTTTTTATTATTATTATTATTTTTTTTAATGGTAGGCCGTAAACTGTGCACTACACAGTAAGCAATAGCATTTTATTCTGATAAGTAGCTCAAGATGAAATGTATAAAGGGACAGACACCTGCCCTGATTAGTCCAGCTGTGTTCTCAATCACACATGCCTGTCTGAGATATGACCTTTGACCTTACTCTTAGGTCTCCTGGCCGGTGACCCCTGGCGCTAGGGAGCACGGCCTGTTTGGCAGGTGCTGCTCCAGACAGACAGCAGTGTGTTAGTCACAAATGGTTCACACTGCAAGACCTAACATGCCTCTTTCCAATTTCATATACTATTTTGCTTTAACTATTAAGTGCATTATTGTCTAAATGACTGCCCTTCGTGAGCTCTAATGTGCTTTATAATGGCTTACAGAGTTTTGCACATGTACAGAACTGCTTATGCAAGATCCTAATTTCACACAAGGGCTGAAACTAGTAAATGGCAACATTTGGACTGAATCTGACAAAATAATGCATGAAGTGGTCCATTTCTTTTAATCAGATGACTCAAATTGCCCATGCTGCTTCTTTGTTGATAAATAAACATTCAGATTTGAACTGAGAATGCTTTTCAAATTGCATTTCATTTCCTGAATTGAGGTGGCAAAGTGACAACACATATGTATATATCAGACTTTCAGATTATTATGAAAGAAAGAAAGAAATGTACCCAAAAGTCTTGGCAAAACTTGTGCAGGATTAATGAAATTCTCTTAATTTAATTATTTTAATTTAATTTAATAATTTTTCATTTGATTTTATTTTATTTATTTTTTTGTGTCCTATGATGTTGAATTGGAATTAGTAAAACAAAACAAAAAAAAGTAGTTATGATATGTTTCGTTTTATTTGAGTATTTTTTTTAACCTAACGTCTTGCATAAAATATTCTATGAAATCAAGTCATTTTTGTCCCTCGACAAGTACTGTAAGATGTCATGCATGCAACGAACTGCCACGTTATTTAAAAGTGTGGTTAGTGGGTGAAGCTTTGAGCTCGTAATCAGGTTGCTGATTCGATTCCTGCAAGCGGAAAGCCAGGTCACTGATGTGAACCTGCAATAAACGTACTATAGGATTCGATGAATAATTAAATCTACTAAATGACAACTTACAGCAAATGCAAACTTGTTCCTATACTTCACCAATTAAGACTTAATTTACTATATTTTAATGAATAAAGTAAGGCTGAAGTTACTTAGCACAGCATGGAACCACACAACATGACATTTTGACATTTGAGTCAATAGGTCTTTAAGAACAATGGAAATCTATTATTCTTCTCCGCAAAACACCCACACACACGCTCTTTCATGTACACATCCCTAAGCAGCTGCGTCATTATACAATTCTTTTGAACTTCACGCTGAAAGTTAAATGCAACATGTGTCAGTGTTAGACACATGCATCCCAGCTGCTTTACAACCCTTATTTCATTTCTCCATGCTGGAACGGTGATGGTTTAGGGCAATTTCTAGGCTTAAATACCTTTCTTTTGAGGCACCTTCTGCCTATCTGTGATATTAACAGTAATCTGTGCCTCCCTCCAGATTGGCTCTCTCATTTGATTGGCCGTGATTACAGCTCGAACAATTTGGAACATTTAAAATGCGATGAGGCCTCAGCTGAGGTCTGGAAGTGCTTCAGGGGACACACGGACCTGCGTTTCAGGTGGGCGTAAAAGAGAAAATGGGTGGCAGCTGTGAACAAGGGTGTGTTTACTTCTCTGAAGTTGAATTCAAAAACACTGTTGTCCCAAGACTACACTGTAAAAAAAATTCAGTAAAATTTATGGTAAAAAAAAACGGCAGCTGTGGTTGCTGGAATTTTACTGTAAAAAATACGGTAGCAACGTTTTAGGTTTTACCGTTTTAACTAAAATTTACAGTTAAATACCGTAATTTCATTAACTGATATAACGTTAATCTACCAACCTATTGAAGTACTGAAATCTGTTTTGTACCTTTGTAATACACTGATAACCACCAAATGCAGGTGGTGATGAGAAAGTCACATGATGAACTAAAGCCTATCACAAGCAGCTTTTAAATATTAACATATATAGAAGGTGCACTGTGTCGTTCACACAAACACTAAACACCATCATGGTAACACGCATGAAACTGAAATAATGCAATAAACATTCATTTAACAACATTAGGTGTAACACACAACCCTAATATACAAAACTGATAAGAAAAATCTAAGAAACAGTTATTTCAACAAAAAAACATCAAATTTGAAATGTAACGCATGGAATTCTGGGAATGTCAATTTACTGTTATTCACTGTAAATTATACAGTCTTTTTCACTTACAAAAACAGTATACTACCGTAAAAATAATGAAAGACTGAAGCTAACACTTTTGAAAAATATGTGCTTAATTGTACTGAATGTGTACTTGTATATATTGTCATATTAAAATAAATGCTTGCAAGTACACTTTCATGACTTTAAAAAGTGCACTTTGTAATGTTTGTAATGTCAAATGAAAAGTTTTGGTTACACTTTATTGTAAGGTGTCCTTGTTACAGTGCAATTATGCATTTAGGTACTAAGTAATATTAATTAACTACATATACTTACTATATGGTTAGGGTTAGGATTTGGGTTTGGCTTACACTCTAAAAAATGCTGGGTTAAATATAACCCAGCGCTGGGTTAAAAAGGGACAAACCCAGCTATTGGGTTGTTTTGACCCAGCGGTTGGATTGTTTTGAACCCAACCGCTGGGTCAAAACAACCGAATAGCTGGGTTTGTCCCTTTTTAACCCAGCATTTTT